AAAGCATAACCTTGGTAATGATGATGCAGACGATGAATATGATAAGGATGATAATTATTATTATTACTCTTCACATTGGTCATTATCAATACTTTCTTATTCCTCTCTCTCTCTCTCTCTGTCTCACTCACTCACTCACTCACTCACTCTCTCTCTCTCTCTCTCTCTCTCTCTCTCTCTCTCTCTCTCTCTCTCTCTCTCTCTCTCTCTCTCTCTCTCTCTCTCTCTCTCTCTCTCTCTCCAGTCTAACCAATGCTGAGCAAGAACCACGCACATGTGATTATGCATGTATATATATATACACATACACACAATATCCATCCATACATACACAGTATACATACAAACTAATATGGAACAAACACTTTCATCTTAATTTTCATACCATAAGCCCTCCCACCCCAAAGAAAAAATAAAAAAAGAAAATAAGATAAACCACAAGAGATGGAAGATAAAGCCGTAAAAAGAATGATAATACGCTTCCATGACGTGAAGGATGATCGAGAAGACAATTCGCGAGACAAAACATCCGCGAAATGACAACTATTTTGGCGACGAGATGAGAGATAGAGAAAACAAAATAGTTAAGATAATAGAAAGAATGAAAGAGTAAAGGAAAGTAGAAGAAGAACTAGAATAAGATGAAGAAAAGACTAATTATTGTTTTGTGTTATGATATGAGGAAGATGGAATGAAATGAGTAATTTGATGTGTAAATGAACAGACAAACAAAGTTTGATTATCATCATAATGACGATGATGTAGACGATATTTTTATTTTTTGTGATAATTTTTATGATCATTCTTTTTGTTGTTGTTATTTCTATTGTTATTATTGTTATTATTATTACTATTATCATCATTATCATTATCAATATTATTGTTATTGTTGTTGTTATTATTATTTTTATTATTACTATTATTATTATTATATTATTATTATTATTATTATTATTATTATTATTATTATTGTTGTTGTTGTTGTTGTTGTTGTTGTGTTGTTGTTGTTGCTGTGTTGTTGTTAATATTATTATCATTATTATTATTATTATTATTATTATTATTATTATTATTATATTATTATTATTATTATTATCATTATTATTATTAATCTTATTACCATTATCATTATCATCATTATCATAATGATAATAATGATAATGAATAATAATAATAATGAAAATAATGATGATAATATGATAATATTATTATCAATATCATATTATTATTATTATTATTATTATTATTATTATTATTATTATTATTATTGTTGTTGCTGTTGTTGTTGTTAATATTATTATCATTATTATTATTATTATTATCATTATTATTATTTCTATTATTATTAATCTTATTACCATTATCATTATCATCATTATCATAATGATAATAATGATAATGATAATAATAATAATGAAAATAATGATAATAATATGATAATATTATTATCAATATCATCATTATTATTGTTACCATTTTCATCATCATTATTACTATTATCATCATTATTATTATTATCATTGTTATCATAATTGTTATCATCATCATTATCATCATAATTGTTATTTTTTTTATCTTAATCATTATTATTGTTATTGTTTTTGTTCTTGTTCTACTTATTATTATTATTATCCTATTATTATTATTACTATTATTAATATCATTATTATCATTATTGTCCTTTTTATTGTTATTATTATTATTATTATTATTATTATTATTATTATTATTATATTATATTATTATTATTGGTATAATTACTATTATTATGGTTATTTATTATCATATTATCATTATCACTATTATATCATTGTAATTATTATAGTTATTATTATTATTATTATCATTATTACATTATCACTATTATTATTATTGTTTTATAGTTATTATTATTATTATTATTATTATTATTATTATTATTATCATTATTATCATTATCACTATTATATTATTGTAATTATTATAGTTATTATTATTATTATTATTATTATTATTATTATTATTATTATTATTATTATTATTATCATTGTTTTTATTATTCTTATTATTACTAGTAGCAATGATACTATTAGTAGTCGTCTTGTTATTATTAGTGTTGTCGTTGTTATCATTATTATGATGATCATTATCATCATTGTCATTACTATCATTATTATGATTATGATTATTTTTTTTCTTATTATCGTAATTTCTAATATTGTTATCTTTATTGTTGTTGGTATAGTTATTATTGTTGTTAACATAATTACCATAACTATTATTACTGCTGTTACAATTATTATTATTGTTATCATTATCATCATCATTTTTATGATTATTACCATCCTCTTCACCAGCAGCACCCTCTTCATAATTATCCTTATCATCAGCAGCAACAGTAGCAGCATTACCATCATCCTTTTCATAATTACCCACATTGCTGCTTAAGAAGACAACAAATATGCTTAATATATGAAAAATTGTACCTTTTTAACTGAAAACACTTACAATATCTTATCGAATTTAACAAGGAAACTTTTTGTTGTCAACTTTTTCTTCTTGATAAGAAATTGAATAATTATCCAAGGAATATTAAGAAGAATAGAACAGATACGTAGATAAATATATGAAAGTATAAGTATGTGAAAAAATGTACCTTTTTAATTGAAAACATTAACAATATCTTGTCAAATTTAACTGTGAAACTTTTGTTATCAACTTTTTCTTGATAAGATAATTAATAATTATCCAAAGACTATATTAAAAGTAATAAAAACAGATACGTAGATAAATGAAAACAGAATCATACTGACAGACGACTTGAATAGATAATCCAATAGACAAATAGATAGAAAGAGACCCCCCCTCCCTAAAAAAAAAAAAAAAAAAAAGAAAAAGAAAAATGGATAACCGAACGATCCTACAAAATAAATAATAAGATCAGATCCTCTCCTTCCCGGAGTTCCCCCCCCCTTCCCCCCTCTCCCCTTACACCCCTATCCCCCAAGCTCGTCAGACGGCGCCAGGAACCTCCTCAGTAATGAAGGCTGACACGACGGCCAGGGTGGGTATCGCCAGTCGACGCCCGGCTCTCTGGGACTATCTCTCGTGCTCGACCCCCCCCCCCCTCACTGCGCCGACGAGTGCCTGAGCCTAGCCAGATCCCCTCTTCTCTCTCTCTCTCTCTCTCTCTTTCTCTCTATCTATCAATTTTTCTCACTCTCTTTCTCCCTCTCTCTCTGTTTATCTATCATTTTTCTCACACTCTCTCTCTATCTATCTTTCAAGATCTCTCTCTCTCTTCTCTCTCTCTCTCTCTCTCTCTCTCTCACTCACTGTCTCTTTTCTGTCGATCTATCTATCTATTTATTTATTTTTTCTCTCTCTACTATCTATCTATTTATCTGTTTTTTTTTCTCTCTCTACTATCTATTTTTTTCTTCTCTCTTTCTCTCGCGTCTCTCTCCTCTCTCGTTCTTTCTTTAATTATTTTTCATTCACGCGCTCCTTCTTTAGTCTCTCTCTCTCTCTCTCCTATCTATCTATCGTTTTTTTTTTTTTTTTTTATCTTTCTCCCTCGCTCTTTCTCTCTCAATCTCTCTATTTCTATTTCACTCACATTCTCTCTTTTTTACTTTCTGTCTGTTCGTCTGTTTGTCTCTCTACCTCCCTCTGTATGTGGGTGTGTCTACCCCCTCCCTCCCTCTCCTCCCCCACCCTCTCTCTCTCTCTGTCTCTCTCCTCTCTCTCTCTCTCTCTCTCCTCTCTCTCTCTCTCTCTCTCTCTCTCTCTCTCTCTCTCTCTCCTCTCTCCTCTCTCTCTCTCTTCTCTCTCTCTCTCTCTCTCTCCCTCTCTCTCTCGTCCTCGTTTTCGATGAGGCAGCTTTTCGAATGCCACGAAGCATGGTCAGGGGGAGTAGCATAATTGCCGGTATGCATCTTTGTGTGGAAGTGGGAAAGAATTCCTATGCTTGCAGGAAATACTCATTTTCACACGTGTATATAACTGAAGATGCTTATATAGGCACCTAAAAAAGTGTAAGTGTAGTGGTTTTCCTCTTTTTCGACACCCCGAGTTCACACATACTAATATAGCTGGCATCCTCATTCTGTCTGCTTGGAACAATATTTTCTTTTCTTGGTCATTCGTACTCAGATGGGTAATTGGATATTGTCATTTTTTATTGAATTATGGATGTCGAATCGAGAGTCTAAGCAAGAGATATGAGACGCTCACTGGAGTTCTCTTTCTTAGCGTTATCGTGTTATCAATCCAAGAGAGGGCTCTATGGTTTAATGGTATAAATAACTTTCAATGCTCTTTTGTTATGCAGTGATTTACTGAGAGCTATTTGTGGGATGACTTTCATTAAGAATACAAATCCTCAGATTTTCACAGTTACTATTGTACTGCCTGTGTTATGTTATGGAATACCCTTTATCAGACAAATTGTATGATTATCATCAATATACATACTATGTATGCTTTTCTCCTTCCTTGGCTATCCCTGGAGACAGGCATTATTCCCATTTATTCATATATTCGTAGTGTTCACTTGGCTATTTTTTGTGATAGTGAATAGCATTACTGTAATAGTAATAATAATCACATTTACAATATATTTTTTAAAGTGTATGTACCAGTGATTCTGACAAAAATGCTACTGATAACGGAAGTAGCAATGGTGCATATGCTAATAGGGCAATGATAATGCTTGATTACCACTACCATTAGAGGCAATATGATTACTAATGACATTCCTTTTCCTCCTCCCAGGCGGCCCTCGCGCAGTGACCGAGCAGCGGCACCAACAAACGGCCCTCACAGACTGACCCTCCAGGGGGCGACCCCGGCTCCTGTGCCTTCCTGAACGTGTCTTCACTGCCTGCCACTCCCCAGTGCCTTACAGTGCCTCTCAAATAGTATTCCGTAGCGTGATTAGTGTTAGTGAATATCCACACGTACATCGCATCACCGCCGAGAGAGCGAGAGAGCGAGAATGGCTTGGCTCAGACCGAGTTCTACTACAAGGGCAGCGCCCCCTGCCGCGCCGTCTGGATGACCCTGAAGATGCTGAAGGTCGAGTATGAGGACAAGCAAGTGGACCTCATGAAGGCGGAGAACAAGCGACCGTGGTTCGTGCGGCTGAACCTAGAGCAAGGGGAAGAGGAGGGGGGGGGGGAGAGGGGGCAAGGGGGGAGGGAGTAAAGGGAAAAGGGAAGGGTTAGGAGAGGGAAAGAGGTGAAGGAGGGGAAAAAAGGAATAGAAGGAGAGGAAGGGGAGAGAAGGGAGGAGGAGGAAAGGGAAAAGGGGAGTAGGAGGGGAAAAGAGGAGAGATAATAGGAAAAGAGGGTAAGGCAAAGGAGAGAAAAAAATAAAGGAAGGGAGGAAGGGATAAAAGGGTAAGAGGAGAGAGGAGAAAGGACCAATATCTCAATCCATGAAGCTAAATCGACGGGTATTACTGCGCCATACATGACGTGGCACAGTCCTGATCCTCTAATATGGTAATGTCACCCCGCCTTAACGGCGTCATGCGCGGACAAACCATGCATATGTATGGCTGTCGCAATCTCTGTGATGCCGTCTTCCTCGCGTTATATCGTTGCACACTGATATCACGGTAAGTGTGATGATGTCTTGATTTAGATAGTGTCACTTATCTCAGAACACCACAAGTGCGACCGACTGCAGTGTTGTCAGAGGTACACTCATCACTCCGATTGAGATAACCATAAAGCGAGCGTGAGTCAGGGAGGGGGAGGAGGGGAAGAGGGGGAGGGGAGGTGCACTTAGATAGGGGGGAGGAGGGGGAAAATGGGTGGGTGGGGGGGTTGGGTATGAAAATAAATCAGCTCGTAGAATGTGTTGGTGACATAGAGCTTTCTGTAGGAATTTTAACTAGTTATTTGGCCTAGGTAGTGTTTTCTGTGAGTATATAACACATAAGTACTTATTTTTTAATGTGTATGCATATATATATATATATATATATATATATATATATAATATATATTATATATATTATATATATATATATATATATATATCAGAAACGGTATAGAATTCGAATTCTAATCTAAGGTGATCTGTTTTTTAAGATGCAATGTTTATGAGAAATCATTCTTTCCTACTAATGAAACTTTCCTCCCCATGCGAAGCTCAATCGCAGGCAAGTGACCAGCAGCTTCGCCTCATAACTCCGCTGATGTGGGTCATGTTGTAGTAAAAAGCGGCGCCGCATGTCACGCATGATATGTACAGTGACGTACGCTTCAGTCGCCCTTACTTAGCTGCAGGTTTTATACCCGAGCATGTTCTGACTAACGTACAATGAGCAGAAGTTGTGGCTTGCTGGTATATATATATAAAAAGTTGCTTGGTGTGTATGCTTATCAGGTTGGAACTCTCTCTTTTTATTTCCTATTTCACAGAAAACATAAACAGATGGATCGCAGATAGGCATAAATGATATACGAAAATAGATAGTCCCATTAGTGGGATTGTGGCGAGGTGAGAAATATCCTGCGATTAATTTTAAAGCGCATATGTGCTTATACGGAATCTTAGTAAAATATAAATGCATCCATTTTATTTTTAAAAATGCCTTGCGCTCTGGCTGGAAAGACTTGGGAGATGCGGTTCTTTTAATTTTTTTCTTGGCTTTATAAGTACTGTTTGCCCAGCGTCTTGCCATCGCCGTTAGCATCAGTTCAGATCGCTTAAAAGACGGCACCAACGAACGGTATAAAGCGAGTCGTAGTTGCATGATTCGTTTATTTCTTTATTATCGCGTATTCCCCGGAGTTCGCCGAGCGGAAAAAATAGCGACAGCGGCAATTCGTTTACAGATATCGCCAGATGGTCATGTTTGGTCAGACAAGTAGGCGGGCATGAACAATACGGTGACGTCACCGCCGGATCTGAACGGTTGCATCTCCACCCTGACGAACCCTTTGAAATGCAGGCTGTGGATTCGTCTTTTGCAAGTAGGCGGTTCTGGGTTATTAAGAGGGCTTGTGAATAGGTTGCGAAGGTTCGTTTCATATTAAGACGTAGGGGAGGCGTCCTCGCACGTCTTATGGAAGTCAAGGGTTGGGTAAGTTCTTTCTTAAGACGCAGAGGGGCGCTCTCGCGGCAGATGGACGGATTGGGTAACTTTTTACCTCTGTCGCTTTCCTTGAAATTTAGCCTTAGTTATTTCATGTATCAATGAAAAGAAAAATAGTTTTTATTTTATATTTTACGTTTTCCACTAGTACTGTCCCATCATACATTGAGACGTACAGGTCTGAAAATGACCTGCGTTATTTACCTTGGCTCATAGATATGATTTTCGGCATTTGATCATTGAGAATTATATAACAAAGCCTTATTGGAATAAAAATCATTCATTCAGCCGACCATCGATAACCCAAGGGGGAGGGGGGAGGGGGGACATAAAAGCCTCTCGGAGCAATGACCGAACATCAACAGTCTCATTGTATTCGACTTGTATAATGTTTCGACGAAGACAAACACGCCCCTTCTTCATTCTATCTTGAACATTATATTTGAACGCCTTGAGAGGTGCTCGAGTCTCGTTGCTTTTCTGAGCTTCCTCTGTACATTTCTTTCCTCTTTCCCCTTGAAGTACTTCCTAAGTACTTCGGCTATTTATGTCCTGCGAAAATTATTATCTCTCTCCCTCTCTCTCTCCTGGCTCCGTCCGTCTCTCTCTCTCTTTCTTTTCTCTCTCTCCTGGCTCCGTCCGTCTGTCTCTCTCTCTCTTTTCTTTTCGTCCTCTCTGTCTCTGTTTCCCTCTCTCTTTTTCGTTCTCTCGCCCTCTCGCGCACTACTGTAGCGTGACTGCCCTCTACATAATGACAGAATTGTCCAGCGTTACAGCAGAGTGAAACAGGATCTTGAACACCCGAACGAAATTGTTTATAAGTGATAATCCCCGGTGTTTATGTTGTGCCAACAAGTGCGCTCGTAAATCCGGGTTGCATTACAGCTCCCTCCCCACTGCAGCTGTTGACTCGATGTTGCTCACTCTCGCGCACGCGGTTTACAGGTTGAGTGCTCGTAACTCACTCTAGTCCTCGTCGTGGCAGAGTGGGGTCCTTCGGCGTCTGGTCGGCCGCGCGCACCTGTCTCCTTCGTTAGCGCCCTCCCGTCGCCCCCGCTGCGCCCTCGGCCCCCCGCGTCCGCCGGGGAGGGCTCGACGCCACTAAAGCACGGGCTTGTTCACGGAGCCTCAGAGGATTGTACAGCTGGGGTTTCGTTTGTTTCTCTTTAATGATGGTGATGTTATTATTATTGTCATTAATATTGATTTTCATTATTTATATTATCAATATTTTCATCATTATAGTTATTGTAATTATTATTATTATTATTGCCGTTATTATTAATATTATCATTATTACTATTATTATTATTATCATTATTATTATTATTATCATCATTATCATCATCATCTTTATCATGGTGACAATTATCATCATCCTCATCAATATTAGGTATCATCATATGGGATTAAGCTTCATCGTAATTCACAATATGCATGATTATCCACATCCATAGAATTGCCCCCCCCCCCTCGCCGCACCGCACGCGAGGGCCCGTCCCCCGAGGCGCCCGGAACCGCCACAGCCGCCACTTCGGGAATTAAACGATCACTCTCACTCGGGCCGCGCCTTTTAGGTCCGCTAAGCCTAATTCGTGAGAAATGGATCTTCATGGGCAAGTCCATGCCTAACCGCGGCCTATTTAAAATGTAAATGATTCCCCGCACCTCCTACGGTCTCCCTGACGTCTGCCACGCTCATTGTGGCCGATTTTGTCCGGTCGGCGCGGGTGTGACATGCGGCGGGGGCGGTTAAATTCACCGGGGCGGACGGAGCGAAAAGGGATACGAGGAAGGATACTATTTTCACCGGGGACGACGGAGCGAAAAGGGATAGGAAGAAGGATACTATTTTCACCGGGGACGACGGAGCAAAACTACTGAAGGAGGAGATCGAAAGGGCTGTGGAGACAATGGCACTTATTTTCACCGAAGAGAACCAAACGTACACGCCTTAGAATGTTGTTACTGTCAAGCGAGGGAGACGTTGTTAATTTCACCGAGGACAATGCAGGCGACAGAGCGAAGGAGAAAGCTGCTATCACCGAGGAGGACGAGTGGATGTGACGAAATACTATTATTTTCGACGAGGAGAACGAATATTTTCACGGGGAAGAACAGGGCGGTTAGGTGAAGGAATCGCTTATTTTCGCGTGTCGGTTGCTGTTTCTCTTGGAGGAAAGGCATACAAATCAATTAGATGATATAAAAAAATGTGATTTTTGTCATGATTGTTATTATCAAAATCATTATTATTTTTATTATCTTCATTATCATCATTATTTTTATTTATCATCATCATCATTATATTCATGTGATAGATTCATCTATCATCTTACTATCCTCTGAACACGATAAAGATATACTAATTTATCATATCAATAAACTGCCATTATAAATATTGTGCTAACATATCTAGCATACGACACGAGAGAGCAAAGCGGTTCCAGTTATATCAGCCAATAGCGAATAATTCCGTTAAACAAGAACGCTGTCATTTAAACTCTACTTAACCATATTGATGAAAGTGATCATTCCAAATTTCAATAACTGACAGTCTGGAAATTCTCACAAAAGATCGTTAAATCACTTGAAATGTGTTGAATCCATGTGTTTGTTTACATTCCATTGCGCAACCCTACCTTCTTCTCACGTGAGGCGAAAGAACCGTACGTGTTATTGCAACATCATCGGAAATGTCCGCGTAAGTCGTTTTATCACCTCGTTTATCATTTATCAAAAAAGAGAGAAAGAGAAGAAGGGAGAGAAGAAAAATAGAGGCAAAAAGAGTCCGTTCGTTAATCATGTTTGCCACAACGCTGACCTGTCAACTTCGCTAGCTTTTGTATTTGTTGCTGACCTAGCGGTTTTGTGTGCTTCGTGGCTCGCTAGCTTTTTGCTATTTTTTCGGCTTTTGCTTCATTTTAGATATAATGTTAACTATTGATGATTTATTACCACTCTTATTGCTGTTTTTGTTGTTATATTATTATTATCATCATCATCATCATCATCATCATCATCATCATCATCATCATCATCATCATCATCATCATCATCATCATCATCATTATTATCATTATTATCATTAACATTATTTTTTATCATAATAATATAATTATCATTATTGTTGTTGTTATTATTGTAACCATTATTATTATTATCAAAACTAGTAGTAGTAGTAGTAGAATATTAGTATTATTATTATCATCATCATCATTATTATTACTATTAGCTTCATTATTTTTGTTATTTTCATTTTTAATATCATTATTTTTAATTTTATTATCATTATCAATATTATCTTTTTAAATTATTGTTATTGTTATTATCATTACTATTAATCACCTTATTATTATTTTATTATTATTATTTTTAATAATACTTATTATTATCATTATTATAATTATGATAGTAACAATGATAATGACAATTATTACTATTACTATTGTTAGTATTGTTATTGTTATCATCCTCATTATCATTATTGCTTTTACCATTATCATCATTATCATTATTAATAATAATTATTTTATTTTATTGTTATTGTTGTTGTTTCATTATCATTATTATAATTTTATTGTTTTTGTATCATTATCTTTATTATTGTTCTTGTTTCTTTTTTCTTCATTTTTCACATATTTCCCCTTTTCTTATCCCATTTCTACCGTTTTTCCTCTTCTCTCTTTCTTTTCTTTCTTACTCTTTATCACCTTTTTCTTTTTACTTCCTTTTATTTCCTTTTCATAGTTTCCATCTCTCTCTTTTCGATCTATCTGCCCGTTCCTGTCTCAGTTTGCTTGCCTATTTGTCTGTTGCTGTCTATATCTCTTTCTGTCTGTCGTCTTCTTTCTGTCTATCACTCTCTCTCTCTCTCTTCCTCTCTCTCTCTCTCTCTCTCTCTCTCTCTCTCTCTCTCTCTCTCTCTCTCTCTCTCCTCTCTCTCTCTCTCCCCTCTCTCTTCTCTCTCTCTCTCTCTCTCTCTTCTCTCTCTCTCTCTCTCTCTCTCTCTCCTCTCTCTCTCTCTCTCTCTCTCTCTTCTCTCTCACACACACACACTCTGAATGTTGTTATCCTTTTTATTATTATTATTACTAATGATGCTGCTGCTAATGATAATACCAAAAATGAAAACAGTTATGATAATGATAACAATAATAATAATAATGATAGCATAATATCAATGATAATGGTAATGATAACGATTAATAGTGGTAGATAATTATGATAATAATGAAGTAATAATGATAATGATAATAAGGATAAAACAATAAGGATAATATATTATCATCATTATTGTTGTTATTATTATCATAATTATCATTATTATTGTTGTTGTTGCTGTAATTATTATCATAATTATCCTTATCAGTGTTAATATTATTTTTTTCATTATTATTATTATTATCATTGTTACTGTTGTTATTGTTGGTGGTGTTGGAGTTGTTATTATTGTTATCATAACTGCCGTTCTTTTTCTTCTTATCATCATCATTATTATTATTATGATTATTATTATTATACTCATTACTATCATTATTATTATTATTACTTTTATTTATTTGATCATTATCATTACTAGTACTAGTACTATCATTGTTTTTATTACCATTATTATTATTATTATTATTATTATTATTATTATTATTAATATTATTATTATTATTATCATTATCATTATTATCATTATTATTGTTGTTGTTGTTATTATTGTTATTATCATGATTATCATTATTATTAGTATTGTTGTTGCTGTTGTTGTTATAATGATGATAACGATAATGATAATGATAATAAACATTATTATTATTATTATTATTATTATTATTATATTGTTATATTATTATTATTATTTTATTATTATATTTTATTATTATATTATCATCATCATCAAATATTATTATCATTATTATTATATTATTATTATTATTATTATTATCAATATTATTAATATTATCATTATTATTATCATTGCTGTTATAATGATAATGATATGGAATTAATTAACTAAGATATATCATGTTTAATATCATTCATTTTTTCTGTTGAATCATGATATTTAATATCTAGGTGCTCTTAATGATCACCTTTAACTGCTATAATATCATTCTGGCAAATAAGTAACTTTTTGCTATGATTATTGCTACAAATTGAGTCTTGATGTGTTTTACTTTGCGTGATAATGTACGGTGAATTGATAATTATTAATAGTAACACATCTTTGATTAATCTTAAGGAATTTTGGTGATATATTTTACTAGAATTCATATCTAGCTTTTTTTATGTGATTTTTAAGAATAGGATTAAAGCTCTTTTGGTGTGTGTACTACTCTCTTCTTCGGGGCTTCGATGTGCTGTTCACTTTGTATTAATGTCGTGATTTTTCTTCAGGTGTGACATGTGTGCATGGGAATTTCTTCTCCTAGATTCTGGATGTGGTATATATATTTCTCTGGCATTATTAATATATCAGCAGCCCTATATTCTGCATGATACTGCTTGGGCATTATGCATTTCAAATGTTTCAAGCAGGCAAAGGCTTCATTCTCTCACATTTGTTGTTGTAACATGTAGTTCTTTGATTCTTCCATCTGTAAATTTTGTTTGTATCAATTGTTTGTGTATGCCTATAGAAGTTTTGCATTTTCTTGGGCGTATCTGTAGCATGTGGCCTTAATGTAACTTTCCGCCACTGGTGTATGCGATTTCTGTTAACATGCTGTACTGCGTTTGTCTTTTTCCTTTCCGTGTAGCCACCGCATAGCGTAGTGCATGTAGACACACGCACACGCATCTGCAACATGTCCGCACACTGCCCACTCTGTAATGTACCCTTACGAGAGGTACTGCTCTCTCCACTAACGTTATCTCTTTATGTTACAGCTGAACCCCCAGCACACCCTCCCCACCATCAACGACCAAGGCTTCGTCCTTTGGGAGAGGTATGTATGCCTTTGCCTCCTCTACAGTGTCTCCGTCGGTCTCCGCAGTACTTCTACCATGCTTCTTTCTGTGCCTTTTCCACGCATCGTTCATGTCACTTCCATGTCTTCGCGGGCCCACCACACCACCTCAAAGAGCCCCGTGGCACTGGTTTTGCCCCATGCTTGTATAGGTTCGCAGACACGATGGCGCCGTGACTTGACAGGCCGTCCATGAAGGGTAGTTGTATGTGGTCGTATAATAGTAAAAGCAAGTCAGTGCCACTAACCAGGGCATGTTGGCGAGTGGTGCTGGTGGGGCCCGCAAGAGCATACGAAGAGAACACCGTGAAAGTGTCATGAGTTTTTCCATGTGTACAGCATATCTTACACCTCCTCGTGCACAGGTCACACTGAGGGCTTCTCCCTCCCTTCCCGTCCTGCCGGCTGGTCAGCGCAAGGAAGCTGTCGTGGGAGTGAACACAACGCCGTTTTCTCATGTTTGCCTTTATTGTTTTCCTTTATTGTCTGTCACTGCCACCTTCTCTGATGTACATGTCGTTTGTTCAGTGTTCTAACTCTGTTGTCTCGTTATTCTGTATACAGATGAACCCTCAACACACAGTGCCTACCTTCAACGACCACAGTTTCATACTATGGGAGAGGTTAGTGATCTCCTTCTGGAGTATTTTTAGCAACCGTATTTGAAGTGGACGAAGCAGTGGTCCTTTTGACGGTCCGTCTCCAAGTAACCAATTCCCCTTTAGTTCATGCATTATTTCAATGCCTTTTGCGTCACGGGAAGAAAGGGGCGTAACGATGATAAACACAAGACGAGACACTCACCGGGAGCTCTGCGAGTTTCGTTTCATGATACGGTTTGAAAATACTTCCACGACGCGTGTGCACGCTCTTCCTTCACTGGTTGTGCACGCCAAAGGATGGAGTCTTTTTTATTTGATGGGATTATTGGTTTCTCTCCGTAAGCATGTGGTTCTTGAGAGTGGTTACATTTTTTCTGGAAAAAACAAGCATTCTTCCAACGTTTTCTGTGTTTGATTTGTCACATGATTACTGTTTATTGATTTCCTTTCAGGAGTACACTTAGCATGACTTTGTAAACTAGTTGCACTATTAATATAATAGAATGCATGGAATCTATGGCTAGAAAAAATTTTAAGAGTAATCACTTAACGTAATATATATACCGTAGTATGTCCAACAAAACTGCCGTTTTCTTTGGAGATATATTCCTCGCATGACCTTGGAGTTGGACGCAGAGAACTAGAGACTTTTCTGTAAGAAGTCTCCACTTAGTTTGTCTTGATTTATTGTCCTTCTGTTCTTTGTACACAGTGTCATTGTCCATACCTCTGTAGCTTAGCTTCAGTTAAAGAATATGGCATACTGGATCATGTGTAGAAGCTGTCATACAATACTGTGTTAAGCATATAATATATCTGTCAAGTCGTCCAAATACGTGCTTACCTATTGCTAGTAGAATTCGTAAAACTTATATTTATAGTAATTGACAGTCTTTAGCACCCAAGAAAATTAATCAATTCGATTATATAAACCTAACTAAACATTTTGCATGAGTATTTGTTACAGGAATCATTTTGCATATGCGTAGTGGACCGAATGCAATAAATAGTGTTTGAATCCTGTGGTAAGGTTATGAAGCTTATTGCATGTTTTTACGCTTGTGTTGTTTAGACTACGATTCACTGAAAGCACGGTGATTGTTTATTGTTTTAAGACAAGCCAGCATGCATGAATAATATTTTGTGAGACGTATGATGTTGTTCTTTCTGTGCCCAGTACTCAACTTACATTAACATGATACATTGCAAGGTTTAAAGGTATGTCACAATTTATGATGACTTGCACTCTGTAACATCTACCATATTATTTAACCCGGTAATGCATTTTGTATGTGTAACTTTGAGACAGCATACACATTTGATGATAGTTTTTAAAACTGTTATT